ATTTCAAGTTACTATGAATAAGTTATGATAGATTAAAGATAGAATATAAATAATAAAAAAGTTAAGTGAATAATTTTTACCTCAAAGATAACTTGCTTAAGAAATCAGTAGTTTGAGCCTCACCAAGGCTCACAAGTAGTATACATAGATTTTTTAAAGAGGCTTTGAGGCCTTAGTCTTATCTTCCTACGTACATTCAAGGTGCTACAACCCATATGGGAATTGTGCACCTCTCTTCTTACAAGGACTACACTAGCTGCTAGTCCTCCTATTTTCTACTATTAAAACTATTTTTTTTGCATTTTTGACTTCACCATGGTATTCAAAAACATCCAATTAGCCTTAAAACCTTGCATGGCCTTCAAATCTTGCTTCCTTTCTTCATAATGGCTCTCAAGGTGATAAAACTCAATTTTACCAAAGTCTTGAAATATTCTCTAAAACTTCATAAAAAATTCTAAATAAATTCTAAAAAATCCTATAATATTTTAATAATATTGATATCCATATAAGGCTGTATTTTTTCTATCTTTTTTATATTTTTATAGTAATAAAATAAATTTAAATCTACTAAAAATTCTATTTTCTATATAATTAACTAAAAAGATATGAAGTTATTTTTTATGCTTCTTTTAACTACTAACTAATCATGGATAGGATTTTATAAGTAATACATGTAGATAGGAAGCTAATGAAGACATTGGTCTCAATAATTAACTCTTAATACTTAAAAATAAGAAAAATACTAAATTAATAAAGATAATTGCCTCCAAGACTTACTAAGACTCCATTTTTATAAATTTTCTTCTTATGAGACTTTTGTAACTTATAAATGCTTCTAAATTATAATAAATACTTGGATAGTAAAAAAGATTCTCTAATCTTAATATTTATATAATTAAATGACTTAAAATTATTTTTTTAATTAATCCACCAATTAAATTTAAATTATGGGATTGACATTGATCCTATGGACTTCTCCAACCATTGCCTATGTCCGAACAACCATGGTCTTCAATTTCTATGGATTTTATTACAGATCTTTCAAATTCAAGTTCATATGACTATATTCATAATCATGTGACAAAAGATTTAACAAATCTTTAGTTAGAGCTTCATATAACAATGAAGATACAAATAAATGAAGCTTAAGAATGACAAAAGATCAACATAGATGCCTATTACAAGGAGCAACCATAATTCAACATAAGTGACAAAGTATGGTTACTACGTTGCAATATCAAGACTATTTATCGTTGTGATAAGTTGGACTATTATAGGCTGAGACCTTTTCCTATTTGTTAACAAATCAATCATGTTGCTTATCGATTACATCCACCAAAGTCTATGAAGATCCATCCTATATTTCATGTATCCCTTCTTGAATTGTATAAGATAGAGAATATCTCACAAAGAAGACAAATGTCACTTCCTCTTATAAAAGTGGATAATAATCAAGAATTTGAGGTGGAAGAAGTCTTACATTCAAGATAACACTGAAATAGGTTAGAATATCTTGTTCATTGGCATTGATATGATATTAGTGAAGTTACATGGGAGCGAGAAAAAAATCTTACAAATGCAACAATGAAGGTTCAAGCCTTTTATCGATGACATCTATTAAAATCAAGATGAAGAATTATAAAGATCTAAAAAAGATGATGACCACTCCTAGTAGAATTTGTCCCTAGAAGAGAAGGTAATGTCATGGACATATACATTTATCTCAATAGTTACTTATATGATTAGATAGAAGTAAGTAAATATAGATTAATTTCATAAATTCTTATAGAGAAGCTTCTTAAAAACTTCATAGATGCGGTTTTGACTTTAGATGTATTTGAAGAATAGAAACTTTATCAATAAGTTAACCATATATTGATAGCTTGTGGAACAAACTAACTATGTGGTGCATACATAGATAACTTGCCTTGCAAGTTAAGACATGTGGCTAGCAAAGTCAATACATGTTAGAGATCTTATAGAATATCGCCATGTAATTCTTAGTTAGAGAGTATATATAGAGGCAAGAGTGAAGCCTTCTTCACTCTTGTCAATACTTTTTTAGTCCTTAGTCTTGTTTCAAGACTTTTGAGTCTTCTTATTTTTAAAAATAGCCATTCTAGTTCAATATTATATCATCTTTGAGTGACTTTCTAGTTCTTTTTTATGATATAAGACTGTGTTGAAGATTTTCTTTCTCTGAGATTCATGTCTTTGACAAGAAGTCATTTTTAAGAAAGAAGTAATATTACAAACATACATATTTATGCTAATAATTACCTAGATAATATGAATAGATAGAAGTAGGTAAAAGTAGATAAGTTTCATAATATCTAGTAGAAAAGCTTTCTAGAAGATTCATAGACATTATTTTATCTTTATACATTTTTAAAGGTGATTGATAGGTTGAATATTTGGCCAATAAGTTAGCCACATGTCGTACATGTTGGTAGCTTGTAATACAAGTTAACTATATGGTGCACGTATACAAAAATTGCTTTGTAAGTTAAGACATGTATCTTGCAAATTGAACATGTATTGAAGGTCCTATAAAATATTGTTACGTAGTTATTAATTAGATAGTATATATGGGAGTAAGAGTGAAGTCTTCTTCACTCTTATCAATTCCTTTCTTGCTTCCTGTCTAGTTTTATTATAGTCTTTGGCAATAGCTATTCCAATTTCTTCTTGAATATACATATTTTCTTATTATCATTTTTTATTTCTCTTTGATAATTATTTCATTTGCTTAAGTAGCTTCCTTGAATTCTTATCCTTTACAAATGCTTTACAATATGCTTGCATTTCTACCAAAGCTTATGAACCTTAGTTATATAAATTTTCTAAGAGAAATTATATTTATTTGTAATGTGAAGTGCTATAAGTCACCAAATAATCTCACTTGTGTATTTTGTACAAAAAATACACTTATTATGCTTAAAATCACAAGTTTTTTGAATTAATAGTAGAATTTAGAAGTAAATAGAAAAAATAGACTATTAGTATCAAATATGCAACTTAAGGTAGAATTTCTCAAAATGGACTTCTAGGATAAAAATATTTTCCTTTAAGTTATTTAAAATTAGAAAGGCTCTAAGAGTGGTAGTTTTATTTTTGATTGGTTTTTTAAATTAAATAAAAAATTGAAGATAGATTGTTAATGCAAACCTATTCAAAAGAAAAAATAAAATAAAAAACCACTATTTGTTAGTAGTCATTAGAAAAAAATATAGAAACAATGTCAAAAAAATAAAAAAATAAAAAATAAAAAATAAATAGTGGAGGATAGAGAAATTCAAAAGAAAAAAGAAGAAAAAAAATATAAAAGGAGTATGGAGAAAAGAAAAAAAAAAAAAAAAAAAAAAAAAAAGAAAGAAAGAAAAATGAGAAGAAAAGATGATCAGAAGGGCGAGAGGCTGCCCCTGAACTCCGGCAGCCTCTTCGTTGATAGGGGATCCGGGCCGCCCGGGATCCCTCCCCCCTTCTGTTTTTTTCTGTTTCCTGATTTTTTTAGCGTGAGGCGTTCCGAGGACTCCGACTCTTAAAGAATTCTGTTCCGGTGTGTTTTTTCCTACGGGTGTGTGGCTGCGCGGAAGGGCCACATTCTGTCGTCTTCCCTGTGTTGTTCTTTTTTCCTTCGGAGGTACCGGTGTGCGAAGAGAGCTAGTTCTGAAGGTGCTGCGTGGTGCGGCGGCCTTCATCTTCGCTACTGTGGTGACGACGACACTGGCTACGGAGCAGCGGCGGAGGAAGTAGAGGGAGAACGTTGGCATTGTGACGTAGTTAACTTGTCTGAGTTGGTAGATGAAGACTGAGTTTGCCCGGCGTTAGTGTTGTGCATAATCAGAGTTGGAAGGAGCGTGTGTGGTGGTGGGTTGGAGGCCCTGGAGCTAATAATAGCAGTGGTTTTTTGCCTTGAATTCTAGCGACAGCGTGGGGCTCATGATCTCGAACTCGTTCCAAAGGTTCTAGAATGAGTGGCATGCTCAATTACATTCTGTCGTTATTCCCTTAGTTGACCGTCTTGCGGTTCCGAAGTTCGAACTGATGGACTCTTGGGCTCAGTATCACTCAAGGATTTCCAATTAATGTTGGAGGTGGTTGTTGCCGCGTGGAGGATCACCTCTAATTCTTTTTTGTACATTGTCGAGGGGCCCAATTTATTTCTGTGGAGTTTCTTCCCGCCGTTTACTTTGGGGCGTGAATCTCACAATAGTGTTTTACTGTTTAAGACCACATTTTGAGAAGTCTGAGTCTTAGACCTGAACTTCCTGCCTATCCACATTGTTTGGATTGCGTTGGATTTGCTGGGTCATTGTCTTTTAGATATTGGTTCTCGCTTCTCACAGTTTACTTGTGTGGTAAGGATTGCAATATTTATTTGGAGTATCTGGCATCCGACGGGCTCACGGGCACTAGACGTAATCTTAAGGATGTATGTGTGCTATTCTCGAATTGAACCAATTATCGCGCGAGACAACGCTTTGTAACATGGAAGATATTGCCGGCTAGAGTGGCCAGAGTGCACGAGGATAGTGTAGAAAAGCACTTTATTGCTCGCGAATCCACCATAGATTTGTATTATATCTACAACATGAGACGACCATATTCGGGCAGTGGTTGTACCACTTCAATCTCGCTGAAAGTCACTGCCACAAGTGGTTCCAGTGTGAAAGAAGCGTACTTATTCTTTGCGGAGCTTATGCTGTGAAGCTGTATTTTGATCGCATTGCCATGTTATTTTTCATTGTCCTTCAGTAGAGTGTTTGTGTTGACTGGAGCCCCCTGGCGGTATATCTGAGATGGATTAGTGCGTCTTGGTGGTTTTGCATTGACGACACGCATCACAGTAAAGGATGAATTTTTGGTTGATGGATAAATTTTAATTAATAAATATATATTTTTTATTGATATTATTATTATTCAATTAAAAATTAAAGAGGAAGAAGAAATTTACTGATAAATTACTTTCAATGCATGAATTGACATAAGTGAGATTTTACACTAACTAGATATATATATATATATATATATATATATATACACACACACAGTAGTTATTAAAGAATTAAAGGGTACAGGATTTCGAATTATACAATAACCCAGGTGGAGAGCGAATGACTGCATGACGAAGCACTATTCCAAATCTACTTTAATCTCTGAAAACCAAACTGGAACACTGCTTGCGTTCTGCCTGTATAATAAAACTATATCATTGTGGCAAATTATGAAGAAACTAACCTAACATTGGGTTTTGTATATCATGCAAAATTTCATCTTCTGTGTTCTTCTCCAGCATCTCAAGCAGCCGGTGAGACACATGGTCTTGAATGAAGGCCTTCTTGATACGGCGAGCTTTGATCCATGCAGGTTCCTGTCACAATCCATACAATGCAGACGCATCTTATTCAGAACAAGCATTCGGGGAAGCATGTAGCTAGCTCCAAAGAAAGATAAGGAATGATTCAGAGAACTAGCTCTCGTAGAAATTACCTCAGGAACAAACCACGAGAATCCAAACTTGGCGAGAAGCAGCAAGTGTTCCAGTAGGAGAATGGCCGCTAGGCCTGGCTCGATCTTCCAACGGCCAGCGTCGTCGTAAAGGCACACCAGCAATGCACAGTTTGTGACAATTGCCACCACTCCAAGGTTCTGCGACCACGAACACCAGGATAATAAGAATCTCGATAGAGTTTCATTAATGAGAATTTGAGAGATTCGGGTAGAAAATGCAATAATTTATATGAATCGAGGGAAGCGTTGTTGGGTAGAAATGAGAAAAATTGCTGGACATACTTGGAAGATGGTCAACCACGCTCCGATGGAGGCTGGTCGCCTCGGGGCCGGCCGCCGCATGGTAACGAGGAGCTTCAACGCATCGGAGCGAATCTCAACCAAGTTATTCTGCACGAATACGACAGCAAAATCCGAATTGGCTTTAGTTACCAAATGTTCAACTTGGAGAGAAAGATCTGCATAATGAACAAATTTAGCATCCAAAACCTTATTCGTTTGAAATTATCTTTGGGAATTCGTTGAAGAAAGCAGAAATGGTGCGCACCATGAAGGCGAACATGGCCACAAGCGGGTAGGCACTAGCGAACATGGTCACCATCCCGAACTGCACGGCAAGCTCTAAGAAATCTGCACTCGGACAAGGCAACAAAGTAAAATGTAAGAACGAAGTATAACACTTCAAACCTTTCATCGTTTTTAAAACTTTCGAAAATTTGTGATGCAGTAAAAGAATATAATGGTCATTTCTTCATGCTAAATAGTGATGATCTGGGTAAAGTACAAACCATCAAAAAGGCCGTCTTCGAATTCATTCCCAACACTAGCTTCGTATTTGGGAGAATAAAACTCCTTCTCAACGGATAAGCTATGGGTGTCATGGCTGTCATGGGGCTTCTCACCCATGTCTTTTTTAATCTGTGCGTCAGCCTTCATAGCCTTGTACTCCGTCCACCTATAAGTCATGTAAGGAATCAAATCCTCCACCACGTTGCTCATCAACTGCATTTTCAGACAAAGAAGAAGTTGATGAGTTTTACATCCGAACATATGTTCGCAAGAGTGGATTCAACTTGTCTCTTAGGGCTTTAAAATCAAGAAGAGTTGAGAATATATATTTACATATATGGCACTGTTTAAAGATTGCGCACCTGAGACACGATTAGGCGCTGTGCCAGCATTGATCGGAGAGTATTAAAGTCTTTGTGCAGTATGGCTTGATAGAATAGACCAATATACGATTGAAAAAAATATAAACCAAACACCTGCAAGACAACTTTCACAGTTAAAGACTATCAAGAGGACACACATTGCGAGTAAACAGTGAAGCATGTAATCTGACGTACATGTTTGACTGCTGAAAAAATAAAAATAAATGATGAAACGTACCTTGTATATCATGCTGTTTGCAGCGGCCTCCTTGCTGACCAAGTGTTCCGACTTCGTCAACGCTATGCCCACCTGACCTCCGATCTTTGTGAGGTACTGGACTATTAGAAGGTAAACTCCTGTGAAAATGTACCTAACAAAAACAGAAATCAACATTGTCACTCTAAACCTTCCTCACAGAAATTTCGAAGATGAATCCAAATGGAGATAGTGTAAATACATGTGCTACACATGGTGAGCTTACTTGATGATGTCGTTAGGAGCATATTTGTTGAGGTGGGCGTAAAGGAGCTCAAAAGGAAATTGCACACACAGAATACATGTAACAGCGATCATGCTGTTCTTGACGCTCCGGATACGAGACAGCCACTCTTCTCTGCCCAAAATCTGTGCCTCTTGTTCGGAGACGTTTGCGCCGTACGCCTGTTGTTGTGACGTTTTTTGGAGCAAGACCCCTCTCTGCTCTCGAGTCAATGACTTGATCGTTTGAATCTCCTCGCTCTCATAACTCAGCCCCCATCTACTAGCATGATAGTTTAACAATGAGCACAATCCAGAATGCCAAGCCTGAAAACTTCGATGCGCGATTGTGAAAGGAGCTACCATAGAAAAAGACGTACTTGTTCTGAAGAGCTGCATTCTGGCGGCGCCAAAATTGAAGAAACACGACAGCCCAAATAACGACGATCATAGCGTAAATTGGAGGAACTGCGGGTTCCATTGGTCTACGCAAAGCCAAATAGAGAATATAAATAAGGAAGTAATCTCTATGTAGAATGTGATCAAGTTGCAAGCGGACATGCAAGCTTTCAGCACTGGTAAATCTAACAAATAAACTATTTAACATTCAGATCATTTGCCATCTCATGCAAAAAGACATTTTATAATTTGATTTTGGTTTGATGCTCGATTTTTAGACATAACGAATGATTTACAACTCACTCAAGCATTTTACGTTATCACCTCTGATTCCTATCTTACAATTCAAGAAACTCAACTTTTTTCTGCAAGACGCCTCATTTAACTCTTTCAGATTCGAGGAAACAAAATCAGTTAGCATATGCATTGTGCTGTCGAAGCTCATGATTGAGCTCTTCTGAGCAGTTTTAAAAGAAGAATCCAATGACTAATAAAGTAGCTAACGTCGTAACAACATGTGTATAATTATTATGGGGAATTTCTTCGGAGGGTTTGGAATCTAACCCTTGATCTGTAAAATGCAAGAAAATTCCAAGAGCAGCTGGGAAAAGGAGCCATCTAGTGTACATTCCTAAGAAGGCAAAGTATATCGCCACCTGCACAAGCGTCACACCCACAACATTTAGTCTTTTGTTTTTACTGTTTAACTTTTTGAAGTACAACTTAAATCAAAATATGCACCAACAGATGATCATGATCATGAAAGTTAAGGAATAAATCCTACCACATACAAAAGTCTAACTAACCTTTGCACCGAAGTATGCACTCAGGACATCAAGGGGCTGGCGTGTCAGGTCCATAAACCTCAAGGCCCAGTGCTTTAGCAACCATTGTCGTTGCTGCTCTTCTGCAAGCCAAAGGAGCCAATTCTCAGATGAGTGCATATGTTGAAGTTTGAAACAAGTTTCGCCACAAACATATCAACTAAAGACTGATCGTGCCAAATGATTTGACAGGGAGGCTTACGATGTAGTGCCATCACTTCCTTGATAACCCCACCATCTTGTAATTTCTTTACGAGCGGAACGTTGTCAGGACCATACACCGAGTCAATGATACTGATTATGCACTGGTAGCGTTCAGTCCAGCTGAAAAGTGCATCCCCCAAGGGTTGTCGAACAAACGAGTCCCGACGCTCCCAATCGAATACCACGTCAAGTCCTGTATCCAAGGTACATAAATTTACCAGTGATTCCTAAAATTAAACCCTAAACCCAAAATTGTTACATTCCAATTTCAATGAGAAGCACCAAGAATTTAGCGATGCAGGGCTTAGAAGTATTTCATACCGACATTTGTAGGCTTCCTGAGCTTCAGTCTGGATGCTTCCCTGCCAATGACGTCCACCGGCGCTCCAATCTAACGTTACCACAACCACATGCAGATTATCAGCAATGAACTCCTGGCCACAATACATATGGTGAGAAAAGCACCAAATAAGTTCAGGACTTCGTGGGTGGGGGTGCTAACCTTGAGAAATGTGAGGAAATTTGCGCCATCAACCTTCTCAACAATTAAGCCTGCATTCGATAATTCTGTGATCAGATGTCCGACGACATCTCCCCCAAACTCCTACATCTCCATACCCAGATCTTCGTAAGTTCATCAACACGCCACAAAAGAGCACACGCCCTCGTTAAGCTACTCGCAGCACGCAACCTGGGCCAAAATGGTGAAGTTCTTACATGACTTTTGCTTTCAAGATTTTTGGAATCAATCACTATTGCAATTTCGAAAGGTGGCGTCTGCCGCATCTCCATCGACTTCACACCCACATCGAAATCCTCCTTCCGAAACGCCTCCTCCATGTTTTAATACAACTGCAGGCACGTCCACCACACCCACACTCACCTACTCACTCACTCACGCACTCCCTCCTCTCGACCTCGCACACAAACTTGCGTATCACGAAGTAGTAATTCTTGCACAAAACGTGAGAGAATGATTATTTGCTCCCCCTCGCAATTGCCCAACTCAATCCTGACGCGAGCTCGAACGATTCCTTCAGAAAAATTGAAGAAGAATTCATGGCAAAAGAGGAGCCAGGGACGAGCAGATTCTTCATAAGCAATGAATCGACAAGTGGATGCCACTTGGCGCACGGCACGCCAGCCCATATGCCCACCGCGGACACGTGTTGGCATCCTTATGCTGGCAGTGCCCGTGGAAAAAATAGTACTGGTCGTTGTATCGGATCCCCCTGCCCGTGAAAAGATTCATCGGGCGGTCAGCATTGCCCTCGTAATGGATGAAACAATTGTGCCTCTTGTTTCGTGGGAGTGTTCTGTTTTGAGTCCCACTTTGGTTTTGAGATGTGGTGTAGAATTGGGGTTTAATGCTTATTTAATTTCATATTTTTTGAAAAATTATGTATGAATTTTTTTCGAATCCTTACTAAAAATCAGTAACTACTAGCACTCCTTACTACAAATCAGTAACTAGTAGAATCTTTTATTTAGGTATAAAGTTAATTTGAATAATGGTAAAATTTGGTAATTTTTTTATAAATACATCAAAACAAATAAAATAACATTCTTATTTTTCTAAGGCTTAAAAATTCTGAAGAGATTAAAAATTTTAAGATAAATTAGTAAAATCTATGTTGGTTTGGTACAAGCTGTTAATAATTTAGACTGTATTGGGTGTTTTCTTGATGAAGAAAAAAAAAAAAAAAAAAAAAAAAAAAAACTTCAATTATTTTCTGAAATATATTGAAAATTATTGAAAGAAATTAAAATACATCTGATGATTTTTTTTAATCTTTTTCCTGGTTCATCCATATCAAAAAATTTAAAGTTACTAAAACAGTTTAAGACACTACAATTTATTACTTTTTGTAATGGCTGTAAGAACAATAAAAGGATATTAAAAAACTAGATATACTATATATTTTTATATTTTAATTTGTATTTATATATTAATATTTATATAAAAAAATTAATTCATAATTATTAGGTGATACTATATATATATATATATAGATATACATACATACATACAACTTTCAAATAATATGTTATATTATTATTCTAATATTCTATCTTATATATGTAAAATAATTAAAATATTTCTTAACAAAATAAGTTCTTTACACCACATTGATATTTAATTAACATATTTCATGTTCTTTACACCACATGTATTGTTTATAATACATTCGGTTTTTATTAGTTAAAAAGCATTAATCAAAAACTCAAACATATTATTTAAAAAAATTAAAATCATAGAATTATTTTTAGACTTAAAAATAATTTCTAATATTATCTTTATACATATTTTAGAAAGGTAGAATGTTATAAGTTAATATAATATTTCAAATTTTTTAAGAATTATAGAATTTTTTAGTAAAACATAAAAGGTTCAAAAGGGTCGTGAAATATTTTAAGTATATATCTATAAAATCTATATTTAATTTTTTAAAAATTTCTTATTACTTTTATCACTATTTTTATGATTATTTATTTTAAAATATTAAATCTCTTGGTTCTTTTTGTTCAAATTACTTGTATTAAAATTCAAATAAATTTAGATAGTAATTATATCTATAGCTTTTTTAACTTATTTTCATAATAGTCTCTAATAATTCAAGATACCCCCAATCAATTAAGGTTTTAAAAAAGAATGTCTAAGAATTTATAATTAAGTAATTAAATAATTAATTTTTGAGTTTCATAAATTCTATCAATATTTATCAGCTACTTAACAAATTTCTTTTGATTTTTATGTAAATTTTTAATTATCTATTTTCCCTAAAAAAAAAAAAAAAAAAAAAAAAAAAAAATTGAAGATATTGACAATTTTTTTATTAGAATTTAGAAAACTAAAAAAATATTAAGAATTAAGAAGAATTTATATTTATAATAATTAATATTAATTCTAGTTTATAAAATATTACCTCAATAAAGTTATTTTGAATTCCACATAGTTGATTTTATTTATGTAGTACTACTCATTGTTTAGCCATCTAAGTTCTATCTTAAATTTTGAAGTATGGTGTTGCTATTTTTTTTCTTATTTTTCTACTTTGCCTTTTGTGAGTTTATATTTTATTCTACCATATTATAATAGTCTTGATCAAGTTTCAAAATATTCTTCAATCATTCCATACTTCTCTAGGAATTACAAAATAGAAGTTTCATGCTATTATTGTTGACAACATTAAACAAAAGAAGCAATTAATAGATGAAGCTAGTTTGAGTCATGATATTGATACAAAGATATATAAGAATGAAGAAGAATTTAGTAATTATTGCAAGCAACTACTAAGTAATGAAAGAAGTCAAAAGCAATAAGTTATGTAAGAATGATTTTTAAGTCCTTGTGACTGATGGTAGCCACCACTTGCTTGTAAAATCTTTAAAAAAAACTGAATTATTGCCTCAAGTATCATATCTTGGTTTTGATATTCTTCTTGATCTTAATTCCATATAATTTAGATTTGTGACTAGGTCTAGGTCATACACTCAAATTTAATATAGATCTATATACAAACCCACCTGATTTACAATACACACTTATTGATTAGATCAAAAATATAATATCAAATCTAATAGATAGAATATTCATCATATATTATTGTAAAGCTTTATATATTGGTATCACGCTTGCTTCTTAAATCTTCTTCATAGTCATTTATGAATCCTACTAATAGATCTTAATTGGTAGAATTAATAAAAATATAAGTTTTAGTTGTTTGAATATAAAAATATTAATATTAAAGAGTCTTTTTGATGATTTGAATATTTATTAGAATTTAGCAATGTTTATAAGGTATAAGAGTCTTATTAGAAAAAAATTAAAGAAATGAAATCTTAGTAAGTCTTGGAAGTAATTATCTTAGTTAATTTAATATTATTACTTATTGTTGAGTACTAAAAATTAATATTAAGATCAATGTCTACATTGGTCTTTTAATATATATATATATATATATATATATATATATAAATTATTTATTAAAAAAATATAAATATTAGTCAATAGTTAGAAGAAGCATGAAAATGAACCTCATGTCTTTTTAATTATATTAGAAGGAGGATTTTTAGTAGATTTAAGTAAATTTTATTATTAAAAAATATTAATAATGTAAAAAAAAAATTGGATTTGATTTGATAAGAGCATTAAAAAATATTATAAGAAATTTTAGAATTTATTTTGAATATTTTAGGAATTTTTAGAGAAAATTTCAAGATTTTGATAAAATTGAGTTTTACCACCTTGAGAGCTATTATAAAGAAATGGAGTAAGATATAAAGGCCATACTTGGTTCTTAGGCTAATTGGATAGTTTTGAACACCATGGTGTAGTAAAAAATGCAAAAATATTAGTTTTACTAGTAGAAAATAGAAGGACCAGCAACTAGTCTAGTTTTTATAAAATGAGGTGTGCAAACGTCCCATGTGGGTTTTGGCACCTTGTGGATAAGAGGATAAGACTGAGGCCTTGTGGCCACTCTTAATCAACCCTTATATACTACATGTGACCCTTCGTGAGGCTCAAATCCTTGATCTATAAACAAGCTACCTTTGAGGTAAAATATTTTTACTTAAATTTTTAAATTATTTACTTAATATCTTTAAATCTTCATAAACTACTCATAATAAATTGTATTTATATGTTTTTTATATCATTGAATATATAATAAAATTAAATATATAAAAATATAAATTTTATTTTTTACTTTTTACTTTTTATTGGATGAAAATCTGGTGAACAAACTAAGACTAAGTTTTGGAGTGTGTATTTGCTTGATTACATTCTTTTTACTTGTTTCGTGTTTTTTCTTTTTTTTTTTTCTTGTTAATTGCTTGTCTTCTTTTATACCACCAATTACAAATAACTTTTCATTGAGGCTATTTTATAATTTGAGTTGATGGATGAATTTTACTCTCACATCATTCTAATCTTATCTCTAATCCTTGTACTCATGCTCCTACCACTCTCTAATAACAACCACAATACAAATAATACCAACAACACATACAAGAGTATCTCTAAAAGAAGTTGATAGTCTCTTACTACTTCCAAATAAAGTTGCCGTCTTGACTTAAACCTCTATTCAAATTAGATATTCATTCACATGAAATCTTCATTTATATAAGATTTTCATCCACCTTTTTCTTCATCCAATCAATCAAATATAATTTCTATAAAAAATATTATAATTATCAAAGATCTATTTTTATAATGATAAGGTATTATTTTTTAAATTTATTATTTTGATTAATACTTAGTTAACACAAGTGCATATTGAAGTTTTGAGTAAAATAAAATAAAGGATTTAATTTATTATACTTTAAAATATTTTACTAAAAAAAATATAAAAGTATTAATAAATATTAATAAAATAATCTAATTTATTTTTTCTTTAATTGATTACAATCAAGAAATAAATCTTAAATTCAAAAATCTTTATAAGATACAAAGGTAGCCAATTAATATAAAGCATAGATAGATAATTCAATTGACTAACAATACATGATGTCAATCGTATAGTATTTTTCTACATGTTAAAATCTAAATTTGTGATGTTGTAACAAAGAATTTTTTTTTTCTTATACATACAACATCTTATCTCCTTATTTTTGGACAACCATATATTATTGTAATATTTAATGATATTTCAATTCATGCATAAATATGCAATGAAAATGAAAAAAAGATAATATAGTTTTTAATTGTATTTTTTTTTTATCATAAGAAGAATTGTAATATATTAAAGAAGAATCTATTGCCAAGAGTTATTGAATAATTTAAAGATTTTAAGGAAGTACTATTATAAAGTCAAATTATAAAGGTACAAAAAGAAGCATTTCTTATAAAATGTAGGTACCTTTTATACTAGCTTTTATGGTATTTTAAAAATAAAATTATTATATATAAGAAAGTTAAATTTTTAAAAAGAAAATAATGAAGAAAATTATATAATTTTTTTTAAAAAAATGTGTGATCTAGAGACATTAAAAAGAAATGAAAAGATTTTTGGTATTTATTAAAAAAAATAGAATTTCAGATTCTTTCAAATTATTTGAATAAAATAGATT